GGATTCTTCACCAGACTCTTGAAAACTAAGTAGGTGCTTGCTACCTGCCAGTTTATGCGGCATGAAGGCAAACTTCTGGAACTTTTAAGGCTGGAAGTAACTTGCTCAAGGTGACACAGGAAGTAGGTGAAGCCACAAGGTAAGAGAGATGAGGTATCTCTGTACTGATGACCCCTGTTTTCTCCAGAGTTGAGAGAGAACCCAAAAACATAGAAGGCAAAATCAAAGATTTTCCTTGGGAACAATTCTTAAAATAAAGGTAAGATTAATGAATTTGAATTTTTATTGGTAACCACAGTACTAACCCTCCCTCCTCTTCGCTGTTCACAAAACTTGAAGTGTAAAACTGTTATCCAAGGAGTTTAACAAACAAGGACTTTGCTCACACCAACGAACACCTAATACTTCTCAAGCATTCTTCCAAAACACTCCCAATAATGTTTACTGTTAAAATATTCAAAATAGCCAAGAATATAATAATCATGTCTTTTGAAATAGAATAGTGAACATAAAATAACTGTAATTATTCTTTCCCCATTTGTTTTTAACTTCCCAAGTCATGGAATATTCCTGGGATGGGGGAGGGGCTGCGTAAGCCAAATACGACCAATCTTTATTTTTCAAGGAGTTGAACCCTAAAGGTGATTCCCCAACCCTGGACGGGGTAACTTTTCCACGCAGAATGAACTTGGGGGCCGCTTTGCTGGGCTTCCTCGTAGCAGGCCAGGGTTAGCGCCGGAGGACCGCAAAGTTGGCGAGGGAGTCGGTCCCGGCTAGGACCTGTCTGGGCCCCCGGCCCCAGTCCAGCCCCTCTCTCGTCCCTGCCCTCTCCCGGGTCCCCAGAGTCCCCCGGCGCCTGAGACCCGCGATCGCGCGGGTACGCGAACAGGGGGCCTTTGTTGGCCCGACTGGAGCGGCCAGCCTCGCGGGGCGGCGCCCGCCTCACCTTACCTGGCGCCCCCGCCCGCCCGGGCGCCTGGCCCCGCCGCGGGGAATGAATGGGCCCAGGCCCCCACCCCAGCCCGCTCCCCTGCCCCTGCCGCCCAGCCCTGCGCCCCAGCCGGGGCAGCCCGCGACGCCAGGGCTACCGGACGGGAGGCCGGCTCTCACCTTCCGCGCTCGCTCAGCTCCGCTCAGCTCCTCCTCCACCTCCACCTCCACCACCCGGGTGGCAGCGGCCCAGCAGGGAGTGAGCGCCCGAGTGCGCGCCAGCGGCCGCTTCGCGTACTCCCTCCTGCCGCCGCCGGCCGCGCCTCCCCCACGCCGCTAGCGCCGGGGATCCCCTCAGGACAGGGGCATCTGTGAGGGAAGGGACGGTGAGGGGGGCGGGAGGGAACGAGGAGACGGTGGGGAAAGATCGCTGGTCTGAGGGGGCGGGGATGGGAGCCGCTCGGATGGCCTCTGAGGGAGGAGGTGGGAAGTCGACGCGGAGACCGACTTCGAGGGGGATCTTGAGAACGCGGGGCTCAGACAAAAAGGGGATAAGAGTCTGAGAGGTAAGCGTCTATGGACTAGGATGGCCGAGCCTGTGAGGGAGGGAGGTGCGATGGGCGAGCGAGGGGGAGGGAGTGTGTGGGGGAAGCTGTGAGGGGGCGTCTACTGTGCAGCCGGCACCTTCAGCTCCAGCTGCAGCAGCAGGGCCGCCAGCCCCCGCCCGAAGCCGAGCTATTGTACACGGCGGCCGGCCCCCTCCTTCTCCTCCTCCTCCTGCCCCTGCCCCTCCCCCGCGAGGCTGCGGCGCCGGCGGAGCCCTGCCCGCCCCGCCTCCCGCAGGTGGGAGGGGGCGGGGAGAGCTGGACAGACCCAAGTGAACAAGTCCAACCCAGCCAGGCCTGGGAGAGAGCGAGCGCCTGAGGTGACGTCATCGGCGCGTGACGCCAAAGGCTGGGGAACACCCGGCTGCCACGCGACGTCATTGCGTCCGCGTCTCTTCTAGGCCTGCAGTGTCCGGTGGCAGGCTGCTTTGACAGGGCATTCCTCCTGGAAGGTTGTGGAATGATTTCTAGGAGGGCTCGTGATGTAGTCAGGATTGTAAAAGAAGGCTAACGCTATCGGCTTGGGTCCTTCTCGGGTTACAAAGCACCACTGCATCTATTAGCTCATAGACAAGGGCTGAATTTGAAAACTATCTGATCTCGTGTGATTTTAGAGCCAGACATCTATTATTCTGTTTGTTTTTTTGTGTGTGGGAACGAGGGTGGGAGGTGGACCAAGAAATGATAAGGGAGAAATTTGAACTATTGTGAACTGGCAGGAGAAAATAGGCTCCCTTTCCCTTTTTTCTCCTACCATGGAGGCTACTTTCCACCGAAACCTTTCCCCTGAGCTCAGAGTGTGTGTTTCCCAGTATCTCCCGAACAGCACTACTTGGATGCCCCGCTGTACCTCAAATTCAACATGTCCAAAACTGAGACGGCGTTAGTGGCTAAGTGTCTGGAATCCTATTGCCTTGCTTCAAATCCTGGCTGTACAAATGTTAGTAATAGGACCCTAACTTTTCTAAGCCATAATTTGTCAGTAATGATAAGTAGTACGTGTGTATTCTTAACTTGGTCTCTGCAAGCCTCAGTTTTACCATAATAATAACAACTACAATTTAACACGTATTAAGACCTTTAGAATGTTGGCTATTACTATTATCATTTCCTTCCAAAACTGCTACTGTTATGTTTCTAACTGATCTCAGTGAATAGACAATCAATCATTCACCAGTCCCCTAAGCCCTGAAACTAGACATAGATCCCATTCTTCCTCTCTCAACATCCATATTAAATTGGTCACCAAGTCTTGTAGATTCTCCAAAATATTTCTCAAGTCCTTGCCAGTCTCTTCATCCACTACCACCACCTGAACAACTTGAGCAACCGTTATTAGTCTCTTCAAATCCAATCTATTTTTCTCACCGGTCACCAGAGTAGCCTTTTAAAAGCACAAATCTGATGATGTCCTTCCCTGTTTATATACTCTGAAAGGATTTTATTGCTTTCAGGATAAAGTCCAAATTCCTTAACTTGGCATTTCACAACCTGGATGTTTACACTAGCTTTTCTAGCTTCGTCGCACAACATATATCTTTTGCTCCAGCCACACTGAAATACTATTAATACTTAACCTTCTTTTAACACACATTCTTCATGTCTCTGAGCCCTTCTCTCCTTATCTGACTGGCCAACACTTATTCATTCTACAAAGCCAAGCTCGAATGTCATGCTCATGTATTCATTTGACTAATATTTCTAAAGTTTCCCTGAGCCTTAATAATGCTGTAATCCTATAGTATTTTCATCCCTTTTATGGCATGTAGTATACTGTGTTGTATTTGCATTTGTATCTCTGATTCCTTTAGTTCTTTGAGACCAAGTCACATTCCTGTCCATATCCCTAGCACCTAGAACAGCTTTTAACATATAGTAGGAATCAATAAGTTGTTAAAATGTATTGAATAAATGCTCATATTGTGCTTAATGTGCCAGGTACTGTTCTGAGCACTTTACAAACACTATCTCCTTTAAACCTCTAACACCCCGTTAACATAGATATTACTGTTAGTCCTCCTATCCATCTTATTGATTAAGTTACTTAACCCTAGGTCATAACCTAATAAATCGATTCTAATCTAGACTATTTTTGCATGATCTCTGTAGTAGGCAGAATGAGTCACTCAAAATGTTCACATTCTAATTCCTAGGAGCTATGAATATGTTACCTTCCATGACAAAAAAGACTTTGCATGTGTGATTAAATTAAGGATTTTGAGATAGAAACTCCTCCCATGAATTTTACTCTCCCCTCAAATTAAGGATTTTGAAAGCAAACTCAAGAAGATGGAAAAGGCAAGAAAATGAATTCTCCCTTAGAGCCTCCAGAAAGGAACAGAGCTGTCTCTGATGATGCCTTAATCTAAGCCAACTGACATTCATTTAGGACTTCTGAACTACAGAACTGTAAAATAGTAAATGTGTATTGTTTTAAGCCACTGCACATGTGATGATTTGTTACAGCAGCCATAGGAGACTAATACGATCTCCAATCAAGGGTGACTGCTCTATGCTAGTAAATGCCAGCAGCATAAGGAGAGTTAGAACTGTCCACCACAGCTGCAGCTCAAATCAGAGATAGGCTAGAAGTGGAGTAGATGGGTCATAGGATAAGTGTATACAGTAAGTCCTCACTTAATGTCATTGATAGGTTCTTGGAAACTGCAACTTTAGGCAAAACAATGTATAATGAAACCAATTTTCCCATAGGCTAATTGATATAAATAAGAGTTAAGTTCCTGCAGCATATTTATGATCACAGAATTACCAAACTTCTGAAAAGAAAATAACCAGGTATTACCTATCACCATTCTGTGACCATGAAATTAAAGTATTTCCTAAATGAATTATTAAAAATTTTAAAGTCTTTAAAAAGAATATTAATCATTTTCATGTGTTCACAATAGCTCCGTTTTTGATACTTAGTATTTGCTTAAGTATTGGGATTTAGACAATATGGCTTTTGACATATTAAAAATTCTAGAGCTGGGTAGGGTGGCTGGCACCTATAATCCCAGCTACTAGGGAGGCTGAAGCAGGAGGATTGCTTGAGGACAGTAGTTCCAGATCAGCCTAGGCAACATAGCAAGATCCCATCTAAAAAATTGTAGGCCGGGGGCAGTGGCTCACACCTGTAATCCTAGACTCTGGGAGGCTGAGGCAGGAGGATCACTTGAGCTTAGGAGTTTAAGACCAGCCTGAGCAAGAGCGAGACCCGCGTCTCTAAAAAAAAAATTAAAAATAAATTTAAAAATTCTGTAGGAAAAACTAACGTCTTTTAATTTAAGCAATTAAACAAAGCAACTTAAAAACTTCAATAAGAGCATGGGTTAATCTGATTCAAGAAATGTTTCCAAAATTCAACCCCCACCTAGCTTCTTTTCAGGAGAAACTGTACATCAACACAAATCTTTGATAACAACTTTTGGAGAAGAAAATAGAAAACTAAACCCAGAGCATGATAGTTGTGTAAGATATTTCTTCCTCAACATTAGGCAAAGAAGTGCTATTGTACTCTTATATGCCATTTTATTTCAACAGATGATTCAACTGGTCTTGTAGATCTGATGACTCTTCAACATTCTTCTGAATAACTTCTTGCTGGTATTGAAGATACTTTGTTACTATTGCCATTTTCCTTAAACTATCTTCTGAGTGCAAGATGGCATCTTCCTGTAGTACCACATTTTGAGCTGCTTGACCTAGCAGCTCAGAGCTCTGGGAGCCCTTCAGCACCTGCTTGGTGAGTGCAATCACATCAGTACCACAGGTGTTCACCTTCTCTGTGGGAAGTCCCTTTAGGGACTGACCTAACTATGCTTGAGAACCTGGCTTCCCAGTTGCCATCATTTCAGTTAGAGAATGACTTCACGCTGCAATATTCTATTTCTATTAAATTAAGTATATTAACTATATCATTCTGATCTCTATTCTGTTTAATTTGTATCTGATCTATCAACTTAATATAAAAAGGTGATAAAATCTCCACATATAACTATGCATTTGTCAATTTCTCTTTTTGCTTTATAAGTGGAATCTCTTGTTAGGCTCATGATTTTGGTGAACTGTGTCTTTTAACATTGTGTCTTTTGTGAGTAGCACATTGCTAGATTCTATTTTTATCCAAATGTAATTTTTGATTTTTTTATAGGTGAGTTTAATCTGTTTTGATACATTGTGTCTTCCTGCCCTAGAACATGTCTCTCCACTAAAATGTAAGCTTCGTAAGTGCAAGGAGTTTGCTTTGTTCACTACTGTATTTCTTTAGCTTGGAATATTGCTGTACTTAGTAGGTACTCAGTGAATATTTGTTCCTTGTTTAATGATAATTACAGCTATGTTCAACTCATTTCTATTGCCTTAAATGTTTTCCTTTTACCATTTTGCTACTTTATCGTCCTTTCCTGTATTCTGTTGGATTGATAATGTTTTCTTCACTTCTCTTTTCCCCCTCTGATGCTTTAAAAGATATAAATTGTCTTTCTATTCTGTTAGTTATTATCCTTAAAATAGAAATACATATATTTAGCTACACACTTTCATAAATTGTTAGTGTCTCCATCTTCCTCCAAAGTAAGGTGAAAGCCTCAATACACTTTAACACTCACTGATCATCCCTCCTGAATTCCTTTTAATTCGTTTTTGTTCATGTCTGAAAATGATTTTATTTTTTCCTCACTCTTGAGTGATGTTTAGCTAGATTGGTAAATATGGATTTTCCCTCACATTTTCCCTCTGATTATAGTACTACATTAACTCCAGACTCTATTTTTGCTGAAGAAGAGTATGCTATCACTCTAATTATTATTCCTTTATAGTTTAATCTGTTTTCTCTCATACAGATTTTTAAGAGTTTTTCTTCATTCTTGAGGTCTAGTATAATATGTATAGGGGAGAATTAATTCTTATTATTCTGCTTAGAACTCTCAATTCAAAAATCTGTCTTGCTTCAATTTCAGAGAATCTCAGTCGTTATCTCTTTAAGCATCACTATTAAATCCACTCTCCATGCCTATTCATTGCTTTTTCAAATATCTGATATCTTTATCATCCTGTCATCCTGTGATACATTCTGGATTAATCCCCAAGTAGTCTCTTCCAATTATAATTTCTCTCTTTGACTTTGTCTAATCTAAATTTATATCATATATTTGGATTTTAGGGCTTTTTTGGCTAGTTTTTTGTTTCAGTTTTGAGGAGTATAAATTTTATTTCTAGGATTTTTAGTAAATAATTGCTCTATTTTTTAAGCACCTTGTCCTACTATGATGACTAACTGGAATTAATAATACTCTCTGTGCCCTAAAAAGATGGAGAATGTGGGAAAGAGTATTACCTAGGACCTGAAGCTCCAGCCAGCTAGTTGAAAGAACCCCGTCAGATAATGGCATCTTAGTGATCCAGGGACAGAAATAAAACTCCAAGTAAGTCACTTAAAAGAAATAGCAGTGCTCTGCTTCTGGGAATGCTGTTGGTAATTAATAAATAAATAAATAAATAAATAAATAAAAGGAATAGCAGTGCTTGGAAGTAGGATGAGGAAAATGAAGGGGATTCTAGGGCTCTGGTAAATATTTTAATATCAGTCCATTGACGGGCATTTATCAAAACCCTACTGCGCTACATATTGAATGATTCCATTTATATTAGATTTTTAAAATGAAAATCTATAAAAACAGAAAGCAGATCAATTATTGTTTGCGGATGGGAGCAGTGATTGACTACAAATAGGCACAAGGGAACTTTTTGGGCTGTTGGAAATGTTCTAAAACTGCATCACAGTGATAGTTACACAACTGTATACATTTACTAAAAATCACTGTACTCTTAAGGTGGGTGAATTTTCTGGTATGTAAACTATACCACAATAATGCATTAAAAAATGCCATTGCATGTCTAACCATATGGGAGATGCTAATGTGTGAGTAATGAGAAGTGACTGTAAGGTCGTAAGAATGGAATTGAAGGGGTTAAGGCAATTGATGGAGATGAGAGTTTGGTAAAGTAGATGTGTCCATTATTGCCTCCTTTTCTCTATATCCTTCTAAAGAACTTATTTTGATCATAGCCCCTAGAATGGCTGAGGTTTAAACAACACAAGGTCCCAAACTTCCATCTGAATGGAGCAGGGGTGTGCATCTGATTCAGATTATAACAATCAGATTCTTTCTCTGGAATTTGGAATTAAGTCAGTGAAAAACAGAGCCAGTCATAAGGTATCAGGTGCTTTATTAGAAAAGGCAATGTAGAGCAGGAGTGCAGAGAATGCCATAGCAAACTGAAGCCTTTAGTAAACTTTAGTATAGAGGAGCAGATAAAAAACCACAAGTAAGCCAAAAAAGTTGGTCTACAGAAAAAAAGAGGAGAGCAGAGAAGATGCACAGAGATAAACAGAGATCAGAGACAAAGTGGGCCTGCAAGAGAAAACCAGAGTGGCCTCAACAACCAGCCGCTCCATATCAGTCCCCGTGAGGTTTGACTGCACTTTGGTTCTGGTGGTTAGATTGTTCATTAAGCAACATACCCCGTGGGGTGCATGTGGTATATTAGTACTCAACCTCTATTCCAAGCTCCTTTCAGAGTACTCCGTCTACTATAGAGCCTAAAAACATAAAAAGAGCATTTTTTTTAAGACTCCCTTAAAGCTAAGGTTCTATATTCAAATTAGGTTCCACCAATTAGAGGCATTCATGGGAGTTTGGGAAAGCAGAAGTCGGGCAGAGATCATCTTCCTGCTGCTTTGGCTATTGCTGCTGGAAAGAACAGTTACGGAGACTGGGATTTCCTGCAACAGTATCTCAGTGGCCGGTCACTAACTTTATGAGTGTTAAGAGGTAGTTGTCTGACGCCAGCAGCAGCATTCTGATCCCTCAGTTGCAGCTGTAATAGTGTATTCTTGAACATCCATTGTTCATTGATGTTCCATTGATGGCCTCCTGATTCCCCAGTTCCCTAATTAGTTGTAATCAGTTCTTAAAGGTGAAAACCCACGAGCCCAGAATTCATATAGCAAAGATGAGTGTATGTAACTCAGATTCAGCTGAGGGCCCTTCTGCCCTTAAAGAGCGAGATATAATTGACTGGGACTCCTCCTGCCTCCAATTCCACATCTCGTGGAAACCCAAAGCCCTCCTCCTGGTCTTCCCCAGAGGCCTTCTGTTACCACAGCCACTTGGCCTCTGGGCTCCTGTCGCCACACATCGTCCTCTGTTCTGCAGTGTGTGGATCTAGAGTCAAAACTTAACCCCTCCAGCTTAACCCCTCCAGAAAGCCACTTACACAGAGCAGTTTTGAGATTAGAATTTGCTGGCAATGTGGAGGATAAAGGGGAAATACAGAAAAGTTTCACATTGTAGCAAAGCAAACCATTCAAAATGGAAAGACGGCAACCCACCACGGGGGAGCTTCCCTGGCCCTTCACCCCACCTGGACCCATACTCTCCAGCTTGCTGACTCCTCTCTTTCTTCCTCCTTATCTCTTCTCTCTGCTCCCTTCCGTGGGCATCCTTCCCTGTGCCTGCCCCACATTCATTGAATTTGGCCCCTCTTCTGAGTTAATAAGCAATGGCTGTCCTTTGGGGAACCATCCTTAGCCCTTCTCCTAAATGACTTAAGCAGGGCTGACCCCACGCTGTCCCAGTGATCCAAACAAGTGACCACACCCAGATCGTCGGTGCATCCCATCCCCCTGGCCATACTGCTGCTCAGGGGCAGGTGTGTAGGAACTCTTGGTGAGTGGAAGACTCTTGCCCCTGGAGTCACTGAGTGGTAGGAAGATCAGCATTGCTTGTGGCCATCTTTGCCACCACATGTGAAGAGCCGGCTTGGAAGTGAATCATGACAAAGGAAAACAGAATCAAGAGATGAAGGGAGGGCTCAAACATGGATGAAAAAGTTTGAGTCCCTGAATCCAAACATGTCTAACTAGATACCTGGCTTTTTTTTTTTTCCTTTAGCCAGATTGAGTTAACTTTTTGTCCTTTGCAATTGTGAGCGCCTAATACCTTCCTCCTTCCCCCTCCTTTTCAGAAGCAATAAACCAAATTCCTCTCTCTGCTTCATGCAAAGCAGCTTCCTCTCCTCTGCGCTGGGCATCTGCTGACATCTGTGCCTGCTGGGCATTTCAAAGTGTTTTCACAAAGACAGTTTTCTCCTTATGACATATATTGGTGCCAACATTAAAATGACCTTTTTTTCACTGTGTCACAAAAATATTTACATAATTGAGACAGTACACATATAACGTACTGTATGTAAAGTTTCTTATCCTACTTTTTTCAGTTTTCAATCAACAAATATTTATTTAGAAACTACACATATGCCAGGCATATAAAGGCAAATAGCATTCTATGTTGAGAATTTTCCCATGTCGTTAAAAAGACTTTGTGTCTATTGTTTTTAACCAGCACAAAATACACAATCATACAGATAGTTTTAAAACTAAACCCTTATTGTTAGACATTTAGTTTTCTTCCAAGTTTTATGAATAATGATAGACACATAATGCTGTCTAAGTCTCTCATTTCCTTAGGATAGATGCTCAGAAGCAGAATTACTGGAGGAAACTCATATTTTATAAAAAAAAAAAATGCAGAAAGAAATTTACCAATCACTGCTATAGTACAGTGTCGCCTCCAACCCCACATAGCTGGAAGAGATCTGGCCTAGAGAGTCTTCAGATGGCAGAAGTACCGGGTTCCTTCTTAGGAGCTCTCTGTTCCCTCTAAGTGCCCCACCTCAGCTGCCCTTGAGGAGCTGCAGGCTGACCAACAGCTGTCCTGCTCCACCAAGCAGCAGGTGCCCTGTCAACCCCAGAGACCTAGTGAGGCTGTCATTGTGCACACATCTGC